TCTGTCGCAGTCTAGAAGTGCGTGAACTAATTTGGCGTGGACTTCACCAATCCCTGTTGGCGTGACAATCCAATAGAGCTCGAAATTCGATTGACAGTGATTAAGTAGCTCATGAATAAAAAACAGTACACATTAAATGAATCAACACATTGGTTGAGAGCCGGCATCAGCGTTTCACGTCGGGACAAGGGTTGGAATTAGGAGCAAATTGGGAGCAAAATTGGTCGGCGCACGGTGACGATGATTAACAAGAGAGAAACAAAAAAGGAAGGGAAAAAAAAAGGAAGTGCATGCTAGTAGATTAAGAAGGGGGAGGGAGGGAGTACCGGTAATGAAAGCGCACCGAACGATGCAATGACAATGTACCACGGTCGGTAACATCGTTGCCACATTTTAGTCATCGTACTAACGTGAAAATAACATTACTGCACCATATCCACTGGCAGTTTTTCATTTTGGTTGCTGTGTAAAATATGTCCCCCCCCCTCCCCTCGTTTTTTTTCTTGTTTTATTTTTTTTTTCCAGCGTCACAGTCGTGTGCCTGTGCAGTCGTCCCACAATGAGATCATATCAGTGTGACGCTGTAAAACATTAGCCATTTAAATATCTGAGCCATTATTTTGCGATTTTCTCGGTTGATTTTGAAAATATTGCAAAGACGGTTAGAAATTCTGCAACGCGTTTACCGAAGTTTTTTATGGAGACATGAATTAATTACTCGTATTTTTGCCGAGAGGAAACTATCTAAGCCGAGAGAAAAAGTAAATACACGTGTTTATCGGTGATCATTATTTATGGGTAATATCTCGTCTAAAAAAACTAATTTTTTCAAGAGGATGAGATATGCTTGTTGAAATCAAATCTTAGAATTTCCTACAAATCCTCATGAAGGAAAGTATTTTCCTTTGTTACAGGAAAACTCTGCTTTCAAAGTCAGTTTCTGATGCTCGACGACACCAATCCGATACAGTCCCCTACCCGGAACTGCCTCGGAAACACATAATCCGCTTGATTTTGATTTACCTTTCCGAAAAAGTATGAGAGCGTGCAAAACGCCTTCATTTCTGAACGATACCACACCGCGACACTCAAGCTCGAATAGTTGCATCCCGCAGGAAGTGAAACAGCGTGGCTGTTAAACCCCGATTCTAAAGCAAAAATCCGTATGCTGGTCATAAAACAGGGAGAATTCCTTCGTTATTTTCTTCCGTATTATGTTTCTAAGCCAGGGATTCGAAATTTCGGAGACACCTTTAATGTTTTTATCACGTGGCTCGAACGACGTCATGGTTTTCAGTTGGTTCCTCTTGAAACTTCTGCAGAGTGAAGCTTCAATTAGAGGAAGACCCAAGTTCTATTTGCTAGATTTTTTTCACCGACGAAATAACGAACACTTTGGTATGCTCTTTGAAAAACTTGTTTCCTTTTTAATTTCTATACAAGTCTTAAGCAATTATTATTTTCTCCTTCTCTTTTCTTTTTTTTCTAAAATAAGTCGAATCTTAAAATCCCTTCATAGTGAAATTATTTGTACATATGAGTGAAATCATATTTATGCATTAAAATCTCCATGCCAAAGGCGCTCTCGGAAAATATCAAGGAACGGCTTAAAATTCCAAATTTTCTACAAATCGGTATTTTTACGATGGCTTTTTTTTATAGCGCCTATAACAATTATTGTAGAATAAAACAATACAATGCATCTCTGTAGAGCCCAAATATTTGATTGTTCTATGTTTCTCCGACCGCGGCGTTGATTCTCCGCGTGGAGTTTGTAGAAAGGAATAGAAGCAGTGCGTCGTGCGTATTATTGGCACCGTCCTGGTAATTTTACGGGAGCCGTAAAGATTTAATGGACCGAAGAAGTACGCAACAAAGTGTGCCCGTGAGCATTCGCGGCAGGTGCACGCATACCATTCGCACTTGCAGGTCCTCTCATTCCTCTCGCTTTTCGTAACCGCGTATCTTTAGATCCGACTGTATAAAAGTGTGCTGAAATTCGTTTGAGACTGCGTTGTCAAGTGGATTTGGAGCGGCAGTTTGCTGACTTTAACAAACTTCCCACAATATTGTTGGACTAACTTTTGTAATTAGGAACTACAATGCGTAGCTCATCCGTAGAAACACGTGTTTGCAAAGGGAAACTAATTGTATATGCATTGTTTCTAAACTGATTGTGAGCCAGAAATGGACTACCTAAATTTTGAAATTAGGAACTACAATTCCCGGCTCAAGTTTCCAAACCGATTCTGAGCCAGAAATGGACTACCTACATTTTGAAATTAGGAACTACAATTTCCGGCTCAAAGTAGAAACAACGTATATGTTATGAGCTTCTCTATGTGCATAAGTGTTTTTATGGATGTATTAAACCGAGATAGAAGTAACCGTGATGTGCACAGTGTCGCGAGGGATGACGTCATACGCGGTTTTTTTAAAGGCAATATATACACACATTATAGATGTAGGAACTCAGCGCTCTTACGGAGCTTTTAAAGTTGCAACACACCTCATTCTGCGATCATCGAAGCACAGTTTTGTGCCACCTGCAATAAATTCGTCCTTTCCCTCACGAAGGAACGTAACTACTTCTCAGAGTTGCCAAATTTCCCCTCGAAAATTGCAATTCCACCCGGAGAATCTCAGGCATTTTCAACGAAAAATGTCACCTATTTTTCTTCTGATACTGATTTCATGCAGAAACAAAGAAAAAATTGTAAACGACAGTTGCACATTTACATTCTTGTAAAAATTGTAATTGTTCAAGTCGATTTTGCAACCTTGGAATGGAGTAACGTTCCTTCGTAAGGGGAACGACAAATTGGACGTATTTCTGCCAAAAGGGACTATGTCTCTCGCAAACCGTATGCACATAGTTCATTCTAGCATAAATACCTCCAATTGAGCCCTTTGATGCGTTCCAAACTGCAAAGTCTCCTATTGAGAGACGCAAAGGCCCCCGAAAAATATTCGGGAACTCCAGCCCCAAAGCATCAAAGCAGGGTGTCTAGCATCAAGAAAAACCGGAAAATATCAGGAATTTTGGCCGATCAGAAAAATATTAGGAAAATCGGACGTTTTATCAGGAATTTTTCTTACGCAAATCTCCTCAGCGCAGAGAGTCTTACTGCTATTTGCCTACCGTGCCAGGAGTCGAGAAAAATCAGGAAAATATCAGGAATTATTGAAATGAAAAAATCAGGAATTTTTTTATAAAATATCAGGAAAAATCCGGAAAATATCAGGAATTTTTTATAAAATATCAGGAAAAATCAGGAAAATATCAGGATTTTTCAAAATTAAAAAATACTAGACACCCTGCGAAGCCTCGTTGCACACAGGGCGGCGCGGTGGTCGGACCGACCAAGGCATCGAACTTTCGGAATCCATACGCCTCACGTACCGGTGGAATTCTGTGAGTCGAATGTCTTTGGCTAAAATCCATCATGAGTATCCGCTTCGGTATTTCCGACAGAAAACCCCTCTCGCGGACTGAATTTAAATCCAGTCCAGTGAGATGTAGGCTGAGGACCATGATTCCATCGATCGTGAATCATTTAACGGCGTTCGGAGAAGCCCAGTGAGGTGTCTCTAGGTGTTCTGCCGCATGCTAAGGAAAAATGTCGTATGGGCATCCAGACGTTGCCAAACTTCCTCTAATAAAATACACATTTCCAAGGAAATTGGTGGATCTTTTTCTCCCAATGGTCCACGGAATTTATCTCGCAATTGAATGTAGAGTATTTGAAAATTTGAATGGAAACTATTAATGATTTTCCTCAGAAATTGATGTTTTTAAAAGAGAGATTTGGCAACATCCAGCTGTTTATACGGCGTTTTTCCTTAGTATGTCGGCATAGGTGCGCGGAACTTCTTTTCGCCCGAACTTGCTTCGCGCTAGAAGCATTGCTCAAATTCCAGCTTTTGCGTGACTGGTCCATTCCATCCAATTTCGAATGTTTTCTTATTCCACGCGCCGATCCGGTTGCGCGTAGACTACTAGCTGTCGACGACGACGTTGGATCCGTTTAATTTCTCTGCCATCCGACACGTTGCCCGGTGGAAAGCAGTTTCTGATACAGCTTCGACTTTCCATCCATCCCGATGAGACATCTGATATGAGCGGTGTTTATTGGTATCTCTTCGATTCGAATCCGTCGTTTACTTTTGCCGCACTGGAAAAAAAAAGATACGAGCCATATAGACATACCGTCTGTTCCGGGCTCAGAGGCCGAAAGTTTCGGGTGCTGGACCCATAGCTTCGATTGCTACGAGTGCTGCGCCCGGAACTTTCGGCCTCTTGGCCTGGAACGCGGACAGTGCATATGTCTATATAGCCCGTAAATACGGCTTCCACGGTCGGAGTTTTTTTTCTGTGACACACGTATTACATAGCATGGAGGCGAAGTTTTTTGTCGTGGGGGTGATGGAAATTCATCGGTTTGTTGTGTATCAGATTCGACACCTTTTCATTGCTCCACATGAAAATTATATTCACAACGACCATAGGGCTCATTCTTGAAATTGATAGACGAAGAAGGCATAGAGAACATGGAGCGATCCTATTGGTCGGAATGGGTAGTTGATATGGATTCAGGGGGGAGGGGGAGGGAATAATATAATTTTTAGAGTCCCTCGGAAGATATGGACTTTTTTAATTTACTGTGGTAGTATTCCAATTAATCGTGGCAGTACCCCAATAAATTAGGTTGCTAACCCAAATGTTGCGGTACTTCCAAAATCTTTTGGAAATGTCCAAATCGTCCAACGAATAGGGCTGGTACCATAATTTTAGGGGATAATCCCCAACACTTTACTTTTCCTTGACAGCTAACCAGCATCCACATCGGTCTGTAGATCAAGTTAGGCTAGGTTGATTCTGATTTTCAGCCTTTAACTATGCAACCTAACAATTATTTCCTTCTTTTCCAGCGTGCATATTTCGATGTTCCATTCTTATTCGACTGAGTATCTAACAGATTCCCCTGATTCTTTTGCAGCGTCCGAGTCCGGATCTATGATTGGGCGCGATCCTCTGCCTCCCCGACTGGCGGGGCCCAACCAACCCGTCAATGGGGTCGCCTCCCCCGAGAAGCTCCCGGGAAACTGTAACCACCTCCTCTCCAGCTCCCCGCACCATCGGAGCAACTACCCCAAGACCAGCGTCTCACCCCTCAACCCCATCCCCCACAGCCCCCTCAACACCCTTAACACCATGAACAACGTTCACAGGCCCTGCGTCGACCCGGTGCAACAGAAGAGGGTGAGTCTCTTTTTCTCCTTTTCATTAAGATTTTCACATTTTGTGTTTTTCGTTCCGTGAACAAATATGCGCTACAATGAGAATGTTGCTTCGTATATGTATGTGAGTGTGTAAAAATAACTCATTAGGGCCGGTACAGATTTATCCCTTGGTCAAACTTTGAAAAGTTTTCTGGGTGCCAGATATATTTTACCTGGAGGTATTATTACTCTAAATTCCAAAATGTCTCACTAGAACCGGAAGTGTCATCCAAACCATTAAGTGCATCACACAAGCCCTAGAATCTCCAAAAATAACGTTTAAAGTTATGCTTTGACCAATAATGATTTTTAACCAGAGGTGTTAGAACCGGCCCTTATTCGAATCTATGAGGAGTTTAGTGAAAGAATCTTCAAAACCCCGAGAAACTTCCTCAAAATACATCATGCAAATCCTCCCTAATTTAATCAATATCCCATAACTTACAAACACCATTTGTCTAGCTATCTATTAAGTTACCAATGTACAGGGTTTCGATGAGGGCTTCAGGGATATGTGGGGGGGGAGGGGGGGAGGATCTTCGGGAAAAAAACCTACGTTTATAGTTTTTACTCCATCGTGCTTAGTTTTTTTTTGGTGCGCCTGAAAAATCATCAAGCGAGACGCCTCGTCGGTACCGCTCCTACGTTCCGCGTGTGCAACGCTGACATTCTCAGAAAGAACGCCGTATGTGTCTTCAAACGTTGCTAAATTTCCTCTGATTAATTACGAAATTTCAAGAAAACCGCGAGTATTTTCTCTCCAGTTTTTCAGGGAATTTTATTCACAATCAGATCTCAATTTTCTAAAAATTTCAAGAGACATTGTTCCCTGCAACTCCTTTCAAAAATAAACATTTTCTCGAAGAAAATGTGGCAACTCTCAAATGTTCATACGGCGTTGTTCTTCAACACGGCAGAACGCACGTTGGCGTCGTGGGCTCAACGGTCTAGATTTCCCGACCGTGGATGAGGGGAAAAGGGGCAATAAAAAAGAAAATCCGCGCAAAAACAATGCAAGGCAACGGGTCCGCTAATTCGAGAGGCGTCGGCGATGCACACGGGTGCAACGTGCAGTAACGCATGCGTGACTCGCGCGCAGGTGACGCCTCCGGCCGTCTCTCGTCTTTTGTTTTTCCCGGACCGTTTTTCACCCGCCGCCGCGAGATCGGACTTGATTAAAACGGCTCCCGGAGTGTGTAATTTCTGATGGCCGGCACGGGTTGTACATGCACCCCACGGCCCACACGCCACGCTTCGAACTGGGCCGACCCATGTGAAATTTTCCGCCTTGAGACTCGTTGCCTCCTTCGAAACAAAGAGAGAATTGGGACATTGCTATGATTTAAATGGAGGAGAATAGAGGAAACATGCAGCGAGGAATGTAACTTGATTTCGTTAGCTAATAGGTCAGTTACGGTGTTTCGGCAATAGCCGCTTTCAATATAACCCACACTGAAAACAAATTCTCGGCGTTTTTACCAAGGCCCGTTGGTACCTTTACCATTTCACTTTTTTTACCAATTATTGGTAATTTTACCAAGCCAGACTGGTAAGCTTACCTAAAAACCGGTATGTTTACTGTTTTTTTCAGGTAAGAATACCGATTCTATTGGTAATCAATTCCCGGTAACTTTGCCATTTTATCTCAGTAATTCTACCACAGTCGATAAAAAATACTGGCATTTTTACCAAGGCCCAGTAAAATTACCGAGAGAGTTCAATAATTTTATCGAGATTTCTCGGTAAAATTACCAATTCCATAAATGGTAATTTTACCAAGAAAAAACTGGGATCAAATAGAACCCTGAATTCTTGGTAATTTTACCCTCTCTTAGTAAAACACCGAGATTTTTTTTCCAGTGCAGGGTGTTTACCATCAGCGAAAACCGGAAAAGGCAGGAAAATCGGTCATGGAGCAGGAAATTGCAAGTGTGTTAAGCATTTTCCAACTACTTGCAGTTAAACACATGCTAAAGTGAAAAATTTGAGTGAAAGAATGAAATGAAACAGTGTCTGTCTGCAAGATCAAACGAGTGTCAGTTTATTCGCGCATACTTTGAATTAAAATATCAGAAAAATTCAAAATGAAATAATTGAAACCATGTTTCCCTTCCCTATCATTTTTAGGATTTTTTCCACCATTTCCAAGGCCCACCGTCAGAAAAATGCGTCGGCTACGCCACAATGAAACCCGCATTTTCCGAAAGGCCTCGTCTCCATGGGGTGTTTCATTGGATTCGTCCCAGGGGAAAATCAGCTCCCTCGCGAAGTTAAGAAACATATTGGGTTATTCAATACTAATCACAGTACCAAGTATAATCCTGAGAGCAACTCAAGAAGAAATGTTGTCGTTTTGTCGGGGGAAAAACTCGGAAGTTTCATTCCTGCGACTCGAACTTGGGACAGATCACATGATTCGCCCCGTGTGGACAAGGCCTAACTCCTACCCCAAAATGTCCAGCTTGTATTTGTTCGTTTGATAATTGGACTTCACTTCGAAATGGGGAACTACAATTTCTGGCTCATCGGTAAAAACACGTATGTGCCTGGGGAAACTAATAGTGCATACGTTGTTCCTCAACTGACACAGAAATTATAGTTCCTAATTGCGAAATGGACCGCGTTAGGCAGAAAGGAACCAAGCCACATCAGTTAATATAAAATTTGATGGGGTAATTTAATTTTTTAAAAGGAAACGGTCGTACAGATTATTTTGCAAATTTCAGTGAATTATCTGCATAGTGAGAAGCAAATTCTAGAACAATTTCAAAAAAACTCGCACAAACGTTCTCTCGTAAATAATCAAATTGCTTGGTTAAGTTCGGCAACATCTAATGTGGCTGGATTCCTTTCTGTTGAACGCGGTTCAAACGTAGTCCAATTTTTGTGATGTGTTTTTGCCTAATTTGCCTTTTTAATTTTTAATGGGTCAGTTGCGCTGGTCACAAAATTGTGATTTGATGCTTGACTCTTGTATACCAGCTAAAAATAAGAAGATCTGTCCAAACAGCAACTTTTTATGTTGAATATTAACCGAGATACCGTCCTTTGAACAGTCGGGTTTTTGACGTCATTCACCGCGGTAGTGCATGATAGCGTATGTACTACCGCGGTGGATGACGTCATAAATTGAGTTTTTCAACAGGGCCGGATTTAGGGGGTGGCCACATGGGCCGCGGCCCATGGCGGCAAATTTCGCAATTTTTTTTAAATGTAGGTATAGAAGAAATCAGATTCTGAAAAAAAATTACAAACGAGAAAAGGCGACAAAATCTCTCATTTTCTGAGAGAACAGTAATTTCTAATTTTGTCGTCCGGTGATACAAGAGATGGCACATTTTATTAGTCGAGTTAAAAGAGAAACCATCAAACACGCAATTTGGCCTGGAGCGGCGCGGCGCAGAGAGCAACGAAGACGAGTACTTGAGATGAAAAGGAAAAGCCCTCGACACGGCGGCGCGGCGGTCGGCATGTAACACACATTAGCGCCTTCAAGACTGCATGAATACTTCACGCATTGCGTCAAACACAGTGCGGTCAGCGTGAATCGCGTAGCGCCTACAAGACTGCATGAATACTTCACGCATTGCGCCAAACGCGGTCAGCGCGGCGCGGAAGTTAAAATTATTAAACCACATTTATGTTTGTTCTTTCATAAGTTCGTTCATTTCTTATAAATGGAAGGCCTTGTCCACACAGAGATAGGTTTACTGAACTTAGCTTTCACACAAAGTTCCGTGAACTTTTGCTAGTAGTGTCGACAGGGCTTTCGCAAAAAATGTGTCCAACACGAGTAAACGCGTCTTATTCACTCCTCCCCCTCCGGTACGTTCACTCGATGGTTTTTATTGATGTTTCAAAACGAATGAGAAGGGGGTGGCAAAATACAGGCGGCCCATGGGCGGCAAGTAGGTAAATTCGGCCCTGTTTTTCAAGGCGCGATATCTCGGTTAATATTCAACGTAGAAAGTTGCTGTTTGGACAGATCTTTTTATTTTTGGTTGATCTGCAAGAATAAAGTATTCAAATACGATTCTGTGACCAGCGCAACCGACCCATTCTGCCGTGCTAAGGAAGAACGCCGTATAAGCCCTCAGGCGTTGACAAATTTCCTTTGATAAAACACGAATTTCCTGGTAAAATTATGAATATTTTCCTTTCGATTTTTCAGATAATTTTGTGCGCAATTTCATCCAGAGTACCTGAAAATTTCAAGGGAAAATATTCGCACGGCAGCATTTATTTTCGTATTTTCTGTTTTTGCATTGTTTTCTCTCGTTTTTGATAGAGTCCCTTTATACTGAGAGTCAAGACAATGTGAATCCATTTCTGATTGGTTCCCGTATTTTAACCGTCACAGTGTCACAAACGGGAATAACGATTACATTTTCACCGATTGCAAAGATTATAATCTGGAATGGACGAGGGAATTACGGGTTCGGCAAGGAACAAACGGAAGGAGAGAAGGAACGGAGAAAGGAATTTAAGAATGGGCCGATCAAAGATTACAAAGAACGTTCAATTTCTGTAATCTTTATTCCCGTTTGTGACTCCATGAGGGGTGTTGTCTTGACTCTCAGTATAAAGGGACTCTAGTTTTTGATTTTGTTGATTTGTGTTTGTTTTATTTTCGTTAATCGGCTTGTTTGTTTTTTGTTTGTTCGTTTGGGGGTTCAGGCGCAAGGGAGCCAGGGTCAGGGTAACGGGCAGAACGGGAGCGGGGGCGGCGGCGGTGGAGGCGGGGGCGGGGGCGGGGCGCAGACGGGGTCGGGGGCCCCGGGGGAGTGTTGGGACGTGAATGTCTCGGCGGGGGAGCTCCTGGGCAAGACCCACGAGGAGCTCGTCCTCCTCCTCATCCAGCTCCGCCGCCAGAGCGCCCAGCTCTGCAAAGCCATGGAGCACTGCCACAGGGAGATCGAGGCACAGGTCAGCACCCACTCCCAATCAACCGATATCACAAAATCACTTCATTGAATTGTTCGTTTCGGTAGAACTAAAAATCCACGGTGTATACTGTTATCTAAAACTGGAAATTATCAGGAAAATCGCACTGAAAGAAAAAAGTTACGGGCTATGTAGATGTACCGTCCGTTCCAGAATCAGAGGCCGAAAGTTCCGGGTGCTACGCCCGGAACTTGCGGCCTCCAAGCCCGTAACGCGTATATATGTAGCCTGTAAGAACGGTTTCCAAGGCCGGACCTTTTTTTCCCAGTGCGGTCATGGAGGATATTCGGGGTGCGTCGAGTGAAAAGTGATCGTTTAGATTCAGTTTATTAAATATGTTTATTTGTATAATCAAACGAACATGAATTTATTTGCGCCAAAAATAAGAAAATATCGCATAATAGTATGATTACAGGAAAAGGCAGGAAAATACTTGGAAAATCCAAAATAAAATTTTAGACGACTCCCTAAAATCTCTTTTTTTCTCCTAAAATAGTTTCTAAAAATTGTGGGGGTAGTTTGAGAGAGAATTAACGATTGCTAAGGTCTGGCCGTTAAAGAATAGCCGGAAAATCTAGGGAGTACGAAGGAACATCATCGTACTGTGAGAATCAGTTTTTTTTCCCCCAGTAAAATAGTCTCAATGCTTTCCTACTTACTGTCGTTGTCGTGCGCGTATATGTTTATATTTCCCGAACCGAAAATTTCGAGTTTTTACCCAGAAAATTAAGAATGTGCCGACATTTAGCTCATCAATACAGTTTTGCTCACATCCACGGATCTTCTCTGAACCCATCTTACTTTTACTCAGCGGAAACTCTCATTTTCTCCCCTCCCTTTTTAATAGCAGTATAACTTTAAAACCTTGAAACGAACGATTCAATGAAGATCAGCTCAAGTTGGTACAGGGAACTTTGATTTTCCTCAATTGTTGGTTGTTTGCCTCTCTAAACTGTCCTATTCATTCTATTTTCGCGGATCTACCCTAATTCCTCAAAGGTGGTCGGGTCCCTCCATCCAATTTTTTTCTCCTTTAAAATATCTCCACTTTCTTTCATGTTATTCCAACTGCAAAAACAATCTCCAGCTTTCCTTATATCTATGTGCGCTTATTTTTTACAGTTTGATTTCCTCTCTCTCTCTCTCTCTTGTCAGTTTCCGATTTTGCCGTATCCATGGCTAAAGTGCAAAATCACGTATCTTTATCGCGGTGTTTCAAAATTTCCACTTTTGTCTATTTTTCCGAAGAGAAACTAACCAACTTTATAGCTTATTTACATAGAATCTTCTGCTGAAACAGAAGGAAAATCAAGGAAGTTGTCAAGAAATTATGTTGAATAGCTCTCCAAAGAAAAAAAAAGCATGACGAGAAGTTTGCACCTTCGCAAACGGAGATACGTGGTTTTGTACTTTGGTCATCGATATAATTTTTTCAATGCCCCTGTAACGCATTCTTTTATGAAGCCACATCTTCGGAGACTTAAACGCTGAGCTAAGAAAGTAGGCCTCGGTAGTTGGCGCACAAGTTTTCAATTTCGAGTCCTCAGATTAATGAGTCAAGCCTGTTTTGACAATACGCATCCGTTGTTAGTTAAATACCCTCTTTATTATGAAATTCAATTACTTTTAGGTACCTTATACAGGGTGACCCAAAAATCTCCACAATGGTAAAGTCGGTGTTTTTTTTTTTTTTTTTTTTTTTTTTTTAAATCTGGAAAAAAGTTGGGCTCAGTCCTATTTGCTCTCCTCAAGAAAATTAAAAAATTTCATGCTTGATGCGCTGGATTTTTAAACGTCACTTTTTAGTAAACATTTCGCCGATTATATTTTGCTCTGAAGCTTTATTTGCTTGCCTTACTCACTATTTTATGTGTTCCTTTTTCTGTTGTGCACGAATTTATTGCTCCAACCTCAAATGTGCAGTAAAATTGCATTGATTTTTTGTAGTCAACAATTTTCCAGTTATAGTCTGTTCTTTTATTTTAAAGCAATTTCTTCAACAACTTTAATTGTTACAATGTATATATTTACTTTTTAGGCACGCTATGCAGAATTAGATGCGCCAAAGAGGCTTGAGCATCTTCAAAAATTAGAAGACTTGAAACGGCATTTGCTGGAACTAGAGAAGCAGGTATGTTGCATCCACTCAGATATCAGTACTATAGAATCTAATTTTCTTTTAAGTACATTGGCTTCGATTGAAGAACTTATCTGAAATGGAAGAAGCTCTTTTAAAAATGCGGTAGTAAACTATGTGATTTATTGTTTGCAACAGATCTTGATACATTTCCATTTTTAAATCATGTCTGCAAAGTAGCTGTTATCTTTGGAAGCTGTGGAATCATCCCTTATATCTTTTACAAAAATGGTTACATAATGGTTTCCCATTTACATTTTCCTTTTTAGCAGAAAGTAAAAATTGGTTTCTGCAGTGATAGCAAATTATTATCAAAGCCGAAATATATCTAATGATATGTTTGTTTTGTTTTTCTTTTCCAGTATGAAAAAGGGAAACCTTTAGTTAATTTAGTGGATAATATGGTAAAACTCGGATCTCTCTACCGCGTTGGCAGCACAGTTCCTCCATCCAATGTTTCCTTACTTCAAGAGAAAATTGAATTCAATCACAAAGTCCAAGAACAGCGGCTACTGGCTGAAGAACGGAGAGATTGGGAAAGGCTGAACCCTGATCAAAATCAACTTCAGGTTTGTTCACTTCAAAATTCAGCCAACTTATTTTTTGCTCACTTGAACATTGTTACGTAGCAAATAACCCTAGTCATTATCAACAGGGAATTTTTCAAGACTTACCTTCGCCATCACGTTTTAGAAAAATTGAGTCAAGAGTGGTTTTGAGCATACCCATTTACCCCACATTTTCTCCTGTCAATAGTTCAATGTTTAAAAAAAATATTTTGAATGGGAAAATAAGTAATGCACCTCATCTCTAGAGTTGAGTCTAATGGAATAAAACTGCAAACCTCTTTGACATGATTTGGTTCTTTTATTTTGAATTCAGCCCAATTTCTCTATCACCTTGGGTTTGCTTGGAAGCATGGCTGTAAATATTTTGTTATGTTTACTATAATCAAAATACATTTTTTTCTCCTTGAAACCCACAATAAGTCAAATTTTTGATCACACATCTCTAATGTGCCGCCCCCCCCCCGCCTCCCTCCGCCTTAAAACTAAGTTCTTTTATTTTATCTTAAGCAAGGAGCCACCAATAGTAATTTTTTTGTAACTTTTTTGCAGGCTAAAGTAGAACAGCTTTACTACCTTGACAGAGTTCTTCAAGAGGAGTCAGGAACCCTTCAAAGCCTTCAGCAAGATAAGGTAATGATGTTTGCGATGCTTTGAACATGAATTTCCTCTCATTAATTTGAATAGATGGAACAAATAGTCAATCTTCACAATTGAATACTGCACTCCAAATTTACTGAGAAGGGAAACGCAATCAATCAAGGCTAAAATACAATCGTTCAAATGTCAGGTCTAAATAATATTATTTTAAAGCAGAAAAATTGAAACAGAAATTGGTTACTTGAAAACACTGTTTCCTGTGCCAGCCAATTCAGTTTCAACAGTTGAGCTGTTCCATCGCAACTTGTTTTTCATTTCCAATTTGATGGCATCTTCTTTTCAAATGTATTGCAAATACTTCTTTTCTCCAAGAGAAATGCTCTTGCGTATTTAAAGTTTTTCATTTAATTTTTCCTCTGAGTCACTCATAAATGGTTTTTATTTATGTTCTTTCCAGGAGATTTTGGAGCAGGCACTCTTTGGTTTAAGACACAAATTACAAGGTGTGACAACAAACCCTATTGAAGTGGAACGTTACCGCCGACAACAGCTAATGCTCGAGAAGGAGCTAAGTCGTGTCAGATCGGTCCTTGCGCACAATTCCAAAGTATGTGTCATTCTTTCACAATTCTGTCTTGTGTTCATCCATTACACTCGAATCATGATCATTATAAACATTTAAAAATCATCATTGTTCTTATGAGGTGAAACCACTATGTTAATGAGCTGTACAATACATAAGGAACAGCTCAAAACTGTAAGACATTTTCAGGAGTGCAGAAATCCGCTGAATGAAATGAAATGGAGGACCCTCTTAAAAACAAGAAGGAAGCGGGGAACGATGTCAGACTTCTTTGAAGTGTTCATCTCAATGGTGTTTTAGTGGTGAAATTGTGCAATTTTTGGAAGGAAATATTTTTTCTTTTTAAGTCCTCTGAGGGAACTGCTGGCTACAAATCTCGGTCAGTAATGAAGGGAGGCTTAGCTTGGAAATTTCTGCTCCCTTGATACTTTTAGGTCCTTTTCAGAAATCAGAGTGTTCTCCTCTTCATACCTATGTCATTTTTATTTTCAGAAATTAGAAGAAACTGTGACTGCAAATGCTCGGCTAGAAGCTGAGCTGGTAGTTTTGCGCCAGAAGTTCTCATGGCGAAGGAGAGGAGCCAATGAAGGGTCAGGAGGAGGGCCAACAGTGGCAGCCTTAGAATCTGAGCTCAGTCGTGTTCAAGCATTAGTTGGTGATCTTCAACGTCAGAGACAGGAGCTCTCCACGCAAGTCCGCCAACTAACAGAAAAGAGTCATTCCCTTGGTGAACAGATCAGGCCGGGACCAACTGGTGTGGCTGGTAAGATGACGTCACCAAAATCAAGCTAGGAGAATCAAATTCCAAAAGCAATAAAAAAAGATTTTAGTTTATTTTACGAAGAAAATTTAACTCATCAGAAAATTAATGACGTAAAGAAGTTTGGAGGGGCAGGGGGTCCTTTTTTACGTTTTGAATCAAAACACTTCATTCATTGCAACAATACCAAAGTTCATCAAAACAAAAGATACTCAATAAGTTAATTTTAAATTTAAGCTTTTTTTGGATTAAATGTTTTCAAATTTTTTAAACTAAACTGAGTCAGATTTTAAGAAAAATATAAGGATCTTCTTCATTTCATCTTTTATCGGTGCATTAGTATCCTTTTTTTTTGCCTCTCAAGGTGCTGGTCCAATCCCAGCAAAAAAGAAAACAATGAGTGGGTGGTTAGAAACTGATCTGGATTCACAAGTCACTCAAGATGTGGGAGCTGCAACTGAGTCTCTCTCACCTCTGACGATTAGTCCACAACACTTGTCGCACACTTCTCCGATACCACTATACGTCAACACAGATGGAAACAAGTCACCAGGTAAATTCAGTTGTTTAAATAGATACATTGATTTAATTCCTGGGGGACAGAGCTAAGAAGATTTCTAGAACTCCCTAAGTCTGAGCCCCTTTAAAAATATAACGCTCAGTCTTCCATGTTATGCATATTTGTTCTGTAGGAACAAGGAATTGTCTTTCTGGGGACTGGGGCTCATTGTAATAGAAACATCTTTCTGGGACTTCACTTTAAACTTGAAAGTGTGGAAATACTTTATTGTATAGAACTAGCTGCACAGTTATGAGCTAGTCACTATCATTGTTATCCTCAAGTTTTTTCAGAATAATCTCACTGCACATAATTATTTTCCCTTGGATGCCTCAGCTTTAAATTGAGTCTCTTTTCCAGCCAAACGTGTTCTTACCTCATTTCAGTATCACTGATTTTGATCAATTTTTCAGTAAATCTGCCTACCAAACTTAATGGTTTATTTCTCTCTTTGTTTTCTCATCAATCATCTTCATTCATGGAAAGTAAGGAAGTACTATCTTAAAGTCTTTTGAATTAATTCTAGCTGCACAAAATTCTCTGTTTTAGATCCATGTATGAATGGATTTGACAGTTCCTCTACTGATGAAAAGAGTGACCCAATGTCTCCTCCCGCCAATCAACCAAGAACAATGGACATTAGTGAGGCTGATGAAAGGATAAAAAGATATTATGGTAATTATTATATTTTTTCTTGTGCTTGCAAGTTTTCAGAAGATTTTGGACTAAAAAATGAAAGCGTACAAAGGATTTCTAAAATTTTCTGTTTCTGAGCACCCATTGATGATTATCTAACATGTCAGAAAGGACATTTTCGTAATCAAATATGATAGACAATAGACAATCACAACTGGTGTAAACCCAAAACGAAATTCCCTCCAAAAGAAGTTTTGATTTATCTTATTAAATCAATCCGTTTTTATTCCTGATTGTTAAATCGACCTTCCAGGTGAAGTGGAAGTCAAAACTACATTGTTGTACTAAAAAGTAGCAATCAGCAGTTATAGATCTTCAATTCTTGTCAGTTGTTAAGTTTGGAAAGTTGGCATAAACTAAATTTAAAAAAAAAAAATGGTATGATTTTTGTAAAAATGTGCCTGAAGTTCTGTAAGCCATTTTCCTGAGCATTTTTTCATCATTAAGGTGATTCGTCAAGCTCAAGTAACGTGGTCGATTTGGCATACAATATATCGCATCAGTTAGGTAAACAGTCTCCGCAGATTTTGAATTTTTAGCCGAAAGTAGAACGTGAGCCCCTGCGTGTGAGCCTAAAGAATCATTCTAAACCCAAAAATTAGCAAAATTTAGAGAAATGAAAGCAGATTAGTGTTGGGGAAAAATCCTCGCATTCGATACAGAAATCGATAACTGTAAATGTGTTGCAGTTTTAGGTTAATGGTAGTTAATTTATTTTTGCAAACTTTTACGATAACTCAACCATGTTTCCATTTTGAATTTATCTTCTGTGTTTTTACAGGTATCATTCCTCGTGACAAACCACAAGAAATCAAGACCGTGAGGATAGTTAAACGTGAATCAGAGAGGAGGCAACGTGATCGAGACCGAAGTGGCAATCTCGGTATTCCAATCACAAATACTAGTTCAGCCAAGAGAGTAACTGTCATAGAAGAAATCAGCAATGAGAATTATGAGGTCAGTACTCAAAAGTGCCAACTCAAACTTTATAAGAATAGAAATTGAAAGCTTTTGGAAAGACAATAATTTTATTTTTAATTCAGTCCCCTTATGGTATTTTATGAAAGGAATGAATCGTTCAAGGTTGATAAGTATTAAACCATTTATTCTTGGTAAGATTGATGTATGTTAACCCAAGACTTGACCATGAAGGTACATCAAGCAATAAATTCAGTGATTCGACGATCTCTAGAAAAAAAGAACTTGCAATGGTCATAAAGACAATGACAACGATGAATTTAAGGTATTCTGGCTGACTTTAGAGTAATGAAAAGCTGGCGAATGAAGATCCAAGATTACGGTAACAAGATATTGCTCTGGCGGCCAAGGCTTGTGTTAGTCCATAAAGCCAGCAAAGAAGAAAAACATAGGTAAGATTAGCAAGTTCTTGTGACTCACATTGAAATATGGAGTACATATTTTTTAGATTTACGTCCTAGAAGATGAACGCAGAAGATGTTTTATGATGTGCTTGAAAAATTAATTGCACCGAATAATTCAACTTTTTCCAAGAATTATACTCAAGAATCTAGCAGTGGCTATGTTTTCTCAAATAACATTGACGTCTCATAAGGTAACTTTATTTTTGTTTTAGAATCAGTTACTGGGCTCTGTCGATGAAATAAACGAAGACGATGATCTGACGAATGATAGGTCCATGTCTTTGCCGCGAGGATTCGGCAGCCGGAATAACAAACCAGATCCCCCTCCTCCACCAACCCCTCGGTCGGACAGCATACATGCTTTAAGAAATATTGTAAACAAAAATCCTAGGTTTAAGGTGAGTAATTTGTTTCAAGGTCTTTTATCACTAAGCCTCAAGATACGAAATGGATAGAATTTCTTATTAAGATCATCTTACCTAAACATTAGGAGGAGACCGGTGTTCACCGTTTATTCACCCTTAATTTTGTATCAATGTTTGGCCCTCAACAAATTTTGTGTCTTGATAAATTTTATGCCTCGATAGGAGTCTAATTAATTTGATAAGTATTACATTGAGAATCTTCTTAAAACCATGATTTGAAAAAAAATTTCTCATCACACATAGAAAAATTTTTTCACTTATTTAGTGAAAACTACCAAAATTCAAGCCCTCTCTTCAAATCAATATCACAAGTAAGAAGAAGAAATTCTAATTATTAATCAAAACCATTTGTTTTTACAGGTTGATTCTGACTCATCGCTGAAATCACGGTCTGCTCGAGAGCAACTTTTTGGAAGCAACGGGAGTGTAGAGGCTTCCTCTGCACGAAGTAGCACTGAAAATTCACCTCAACTCTCACCTGTTTACCAAAGTGAAGCAGCGCGGCAGATCATCCAAGAGATTTCAGGGAAAGAGTCAGTGAAGCTTCCAAATGGAGTCGGCAAAAATGTTACCAATAACAATAAAAGGCTGGTGCCGAGGGAAAAGAGGAGACATCATACGGTTTCAAGTGGCCGCCCTCTGATTTCCCTGGACTCGTATCCATATCAGGTAAGAGAACTCAGAAAATCTGAACCCCACATAATTATTTACTTTCATCCATTTTTTAGTACACCAGTAAGTTTTCAATCAAGTAATTTCTGGAAAATCATGTCTCAAAATCATAGAGTACATAGAGTCGTAATGTAAATGGGAGAGCTGGCGCCATGTTCTGCTCGACGAATTCCGAGCCCGGTGTGCGCTGAGTTCGGGTCGCTTTTTCGATACATTTTTAATCCAAAATGGCGGTGTGGAATACGTGGTAATTCCTATCTCCTCTGTTGTTGTTGTTGTTGTTGTTGTCATCGGATGGCCGGGTACCCGTGTATCGCAAACAATCGATTATGTATCGAAAAAGTGACCCGGCGTCACACAGGAGTCTCGGAATTCGGGACATGGAAAATGCTTAAAAGTGGCGCCAGCTCTTCCACTTACATTACGACTCTATGTACTCAATGCTCAAAATCTTATACATATATTTTCCTTTCAATCTCAATATAGAATTAGTAAAGTTTGCACACTGTAGGAAAATTAAGACTGTATTTCAGTTTAGAGGCCTCCATTTCTTGCCATACTTTAATAAGTCTTCATATGATTCCTGTCCTGGCGATGAGGACATCTCATGAAAGGATGGCAGTAGGGCATCGACGAAGAGATGTTATGTTGTCAGTTGCTTGTTGACCTTTAGGAAGGGAGACACATGTAGCTTTTAGGTATTGCAGAGTGCTATAGTGCACTGTAGGAGCAATGCGAATGTATTTATATTTATGAATGCTTCATGATAGTGATTGATACAGTAATTAAACGGTTTTTACACAATTTTTCAGAATGTGTCTCGAGCGCGTGATGATTTGGATATGGAGCGAGCTCTAAGGCCCCGACTAAATGGAGCACCTGATGTTGTGCGATCTACACTATCACGTACTGATCCAGTGAAGTACAATGCAGAAACCATCGATAGCATTTTAGGCACACCTAGCAAAATCATCATTCCTGAAAGATACATTCCTGAGTCTGAGCCTCAGCTCTCTCCGGAGGAACAGTCAAAACGGTTAAAGAAGGCTGAGGCCATCCGGAAAATGTTGTCCGAGACCAGCGTTTCACAGTCTGAAGGAGGAGGTAATATTTGCAGTTTTTTTTTATACGATCAAAAAGTTAAAGAGATGACAATTGAATAATTATTTCTAAAAATTGGACATCGTGAAGAAAGTGGTATCTGTATACATGTGTGGATTTGATGGAGGGAAACCACAGGAAATTGAGGCTATCAATTATGATTGCTCAATGATATAAAATTCTAAATCTGGTCCTAGCGATCAACTGAGTTCTCTTTCAGAGAGTTTATTAAATCAGCGATTTTAAAATCTTTAAGATTAAGTATTTTTTAAACCTGTTCTTCGCTATAATGTCAAAACATTAGTCATCGTGAGATTTTTGGAATCGATATAAAATGAAAAATCTATGTCATAACAAATCATATCAAATGAAATTAGTTTTTATTCATATTCCAGAAGAGCCACAGAAAAGTGAACAATCTGTGACATTGAAGAAGAAAGTAGCGGAAGAAAAACGACAACGTGAGCACTTGCTGCAACTTAACCAAATTCTAGCTCATCAAGTCATGGAGAAGAGTAAAATGGTCGCAGGTATGTGGTTTATTTTTCAGAGTATTGTCCTGTGTGCCTTCTTTCCCATGTCCAGCCCCCCACTGTACTCACTAAAGAACCCTAGAATATTCAGAATATTTTTCACATTTCGTTAAACTTTCTGTGTTGTCTTGGAGTAGTAAAATATTTAGAAGCAAACTTTTAAAGTTGCAAGATTTTAATTTTCCTGAATTATTTTTGAAAACCTGTAGATCTGGATTCAAGTGTAGCAATTTTAGAAACATAGATTATTTGCGTTATGTAGGTTGGGACCAGTCTTAGCACAGGATCTTGTCACTAGAACTTGTGGCAGATAAGTTCGCATTTGTTTCCTTTTGATTTGCCAGTAACTGTGCTGCCGCTATCCAATAGCGATCAAGGATTGACTGAGTGCGATGATGAAACTATGCTGCCATTGTGTGCAGATACCAAAAACCAAGCCTCTAATATTGCTAAACTTTTCTACTGCACATGACAGTCAAAAAGAAACAACTGTGACCTTTCTGATACAAGTTCTAATTGGTTCAATTTTTTATTGCATAAATGTTTAAAATTTTCTTTAGATTTGATGTCATTTGCATATATTATGACAGTTATGCCGTGACTCCCAATTTTGGTCTGCTTTTCTTGCATGAATTGTTTTATGACTAAGAAATGTCCTATGCTTACAAGTTCTCAATTAATTGATGTCACGTATTAGGTTCTGTTTGCTCTAATAAAATCTTGTTAAGTCAGATCATCCAGGAATCTGCAATTTTGTCAGAAGCAAATAATTCCGATTTTGAGGTTATAGTTTGCCTTTCTGACTGGCCAATTCTTTTCACTTTCTTCTTATGATTTTCTCATCATTTTAAAAAACACTCGTTGCCTTTGTGCATCTGTCATTATGCAAAGCCTTTATTTTGTGACAGTGTTAAGACGAGAAAATTGTGGTGCGTCTGCTTGCAATAAAAGCACCATTGCGGCAGTTGGCCAAGTTCTAATATGTCAAGAACGCAATTCAAGCGAGTGTCTGCACCGCTTTTAATGTAATACCTTGGAGATGCGCAATGCTTTATTGATGAAGAAGAAAATTAATTTTGCTTCCATAACAGCATGACCATTCGTAAATTTCAATGGGTACACTCCTTGGTTTCATTATTCACATCAAATTCCGTGTCTGTTACTTGCATTCTGCACAATTAGCATAGCCCTGTATTTTGATCATCTCGTTGCCAGAGAGAAATCAGTGGAAGAAATTCTAAGACTGGACTTGAAAAAAGTCCTTACCAGCAAATTGAAAATCTGACTCATCAAGACTGTACTGCATCAACTATTTTTCATTTTGATGTGTTTATAACAGCAGAGAAGCAAATCAAGTAATGAGATAAAGGCTTTCTCTCTCAGTTTTTATTAAAATTAACTTCATTTCATAGGTAATCATGCCTGTTGCTAATAACAAATGCCTTTATTTTACTCACATTTTGTTCATTTCTTTCTTTATGTTTACACGCATTGAATATTTAAGAGGTGAACATACAGCTCATGATTCCAAAGATATACATGCAAAACTGACTTTATTTTTGCTCTCAAATTAATTTTTTTCCCCCTTTACATTTTTTGTCAAAAGTGTTCTTCTCTGCTGTTATATATGTTTATACGTTTAAAGTAACAATTGTTTTTGTCTAATTTATGCATGTTTTGTGCGTTTTGTTTGATGGTAGTTTTTTGTTTTTTCAATTAGGTTTAAATTGCTCTGGTTCGCAAGAATAGTCATGTTTGTCACCGTTTTATTTTGATGAGGTTTGTTCTGTTTTTGCTTTATTTTCTAATTATTTCATTCCCCTCAGTTTTTATGTCAACCTATAGTTTTATTTTTATTATTAGTCAGTGTCTCTTCAGTTCATTTTCCCAAATTTCACACTGCACTCGGATGCTCACTCTTTTTCATCAGTGACTTAATTTGCACTTAGTGCAATTTTGATTCTTTTCAAATGTTTCTTCCAGTTGCAATATGATATTTTAAATCATTTTTCACTTTGTCACCTTCATAATGATATTTTAGAAGGAATAAGAAAATAAAGAAAACAACTCCGCCTAAAGTATGGAAACCCTCACAAGATTTTGATTGAAGTATGGCCAAGTGTTTTTTCATACAGAACTAGTAAACTCATTTGTCTCTGTTTTCGTATTGACCCTGAGATCTCAGAAATATGTTTTTAAAAAAATCGGTAAAGAGTTTCTTGCAGAAGAGGTAAAATAATGCTATTTGCGTTTCAACATTGCGACTGCGTAGTGGCATTGCACTTCAGTCGAGATGTCTAAAGTTTAATCCCTAGCTTTCTTACACTATTTCCATTCATTTTTGTGATTTTTTTTGTAGTTAATTTCTCTCGCTTTTCTCTGATTGCTGAAACAACAAAAATAATTTCAAACACAGTTGGAAGGAAGTTAGAACATTAATAATTAAATATAAAAAGAATATCACGAAAACAAATGAAACATTCAGTGGTGCTGTAGACCAAGAAAAGAAGTAGAATATACATACTATCATTTTTGTGATGACATTTCCATTAGGGTTATCAGAACCTTCAATGTTTTAAACGATCTCTTTCTTTTAAAATTTGGCAATCAAAGATGACAAAACAGCATACATCATTCATATTATCGAATGCAATCCATAATATATCATGATCTACCAGAAGCACCAAGACCATATTATTTGTATTTTCTGTCATCAAATGTTTGAAAACAGTATTTGTAGTTTCTGCATTTTTTACAGCAAGATTTTATAGTTATTCCTAAATGAATTTTCTCGGAACTTGTCCAAAAATTTTTAGCAAGCTTTTTTCGTCTCATTTACTGAAACTTAGTCCTATAATTTTTTTACTAGAAAGACAGAAATAACTCATTTTTATTTTATCTTGCGCTTCACTTAATGAAATTCTCCTTGATGTTTCAGTTAAAGCAATGGCAAGTCTATCAGCAACCCAGAGCGAAGCAGAAGACGAAGATGATGAAGACTCGCCACCCGAACCTCTGCCTATTTACCAACAAAGAGAGAACTATTTCTCTTGAACTTCAAGTTCAGAATCCCGAAAATCTGCTTAAGTATAAGGAAGACTCAATCGGAAGACGAAACTTTCCATTTTGGGTATTTTGATTTTAATTAAGCTTTTTCGGACCCATTATGAGCCAGAGAACTAGGTTATTGAATCTAGTCTGCAATATCGCCTCTCAGCTTGCCATCAGGGCGATCAAAGTCTAATCAATTACCTTGATTTTTTGCACCCATGTAAGCCCCAAAGTCTTACGCTACACCTGGCTTGCCAACATATCAGGTCTATATTTGTTTTGGGTGAACTTTTTTGATGGCGGTTGTCAAAATTAGCTTTTGATCACCGCTGTTTGAACTCATATTTTTCTTAGACTGAATCTGTAAATTTGACTATTGTTATGCGACAGTAGACTATAAGTCCTTCAATGGGACGCCAATATGATGTTTGATAATTTTGCTCAATTGTAGACTGTATATTATAATCGTGAAATGTAAACCATCGTAGATTTTTTATGCCAACGTTTTGACCCTGTAGATTGTATATTTAATCTTAATACTATGTCTTTGATTATATGGCCTCTTTAGTAAGAAGTCTGTCTATATAACCAAATCTTCTAAACTAGTACCGCTGAAAAAAAAAACTCACCCTGATGATATCTCAGTGATAATGTCAAATTTTAAATTTAAATCAGCGTCGTATTCAAGGTTGGTTTTTCAACTGCTTTATCTGGTGCTATAATGCCCTGAATTTCTGATCGTCAATTTTTTTAAGTACTCTTAATGTTCATCTCATAAATAACTTATCAATCAGTATTTGTTTGTTCGCAAAGCAGTACAATTTTAACCTGTAACTTCATTCAACATTTAATCTGAGATTTTCTCTCTTTTTTGAAAAATATGTTCCCGAAGCAATTGATTAAATATGTGTCAATAATTCAGTATTAATATTCTATAATTAATATATAGATAAGAATAATCCCATCAGGTTGGATCTTTATCCTTACCTTACGTGTAATGTTGGGCTGTAATAGTCCTCCAAAAATAAAAAAAATAGTTTTAGAAAAGAATTTTTTTATCCTGTTTCATCTGTAAGTTAAATAATTTTTGTCAGCTTTGCATGATTTGTTCCTTTTCATTTTCCTCTTTATACTATGAAAGTTTTTAAGAATGAATCAAAGTTCCTCATTGCTAAATGCCATCCTCAGAGGGGGACGAAGCCATGGATTATAGATCCCCCACCCCCTCTCCCTCAGAATTTAGTGATTTTTAGGGTAGCGTCGTATTTTTTTTTTTTTTTTTAATTTGGATCAAACATAAAGCATGCGTGTACTCGTGAAACAAACTTATACTTATTGTGCCAAAATCTCTACCCTACAAAATAATACTGAAGAAATTTTTCACATGACTAATTCCTAACTTTTCTCCAAGCTGAAACAAGTTGTCTAAAAATTGCCCATGCACATTTTTCTAGCTTTTAGTTTTTTTATGTCAATAACATTTTAGAACAGTCGATGCGATCATGAAAAGGGAGTAAAGACATATTTTGGGATCAAGGTAGCCCCAAAACATGTCCTTAAACTACTTCCATAGTACCATCCAACCTTCGCAAGTATAATCAACCCAAAAAAACTCAACACTGAAAAAGTAGACATTAGTGGTCTTCGCATGTCCTAATTCAGTCGTCCTAGTTTCAAAAGGTTATGTTACAAACAATTTTATTTTTCTGAAGACTTAACAGTGTTGAAAATTTTTATTCTCAGAACATCTCCTATGGATTTGGTTTTTTTCCTGTATAGTATCTTTTTCTCTTAATTTTGCAAGCAGCTCTGAATAAATATATTATTTATTTCTACACAATATTGGAAAATTCACCCGTGATACATGAATGAATGGCATAAATGTTTGTCAGGTCTATATTTTTATCCTTTTTTCAATGTATTTTTTATCCTGCCCTGGAAGTCATGTACTATCAATATAAGTAAATATTAAAAGAGTTTGTCCTTCAGTGTAAGGTCTTCTCTGATCCTCAAATTTTTTAATTTCTTTTTTTCTATCAGAATAGTAGTAATTCTTAATTTATTGCAAGTTGTTGATTTTTTGGTTACACATTGTCGGATTTTAATGTTACATTCTATGTTAGTTTTATTTTCTTATTTTATGAACTGTTTTATTCCTTATAGTATGTCCAGGCTCCAAAGCGAAAATTTTGACCAGTCAAGAAATGGACGGTGGTACATTTTATGTGCTTCTCCGTGCACGACAATTAATGCAAATTCATGCATTATTACATCTTGTATGGTTATATTGGCTCAGATATTAAATCAGCAATTAGTAGCATTTTACATAACAAGGTGTAAGAAAGGAGGATTTTTTTTGGTTCTTTAAATATAATTTTTTCTGCTGAGAGAAATGTAAGAATTGCAAGTTGTACTTTACGGTACTTTTTAGGCAGTAATTTAAAAATTTTCCAACTATACATTCAACACAAACAACCCATTTGTTTTATCCCATCTTTTATTGTAGTTAATTAGTTAAAATATCATCATTTTCATTGAAGCTGAAAATCCATCTCTCCTTTAAATGACATCTCTTGAAAAGTTATGTTACAGTTCATTTGCCAGAATTTTATTTCCTCTGTGCCAACTAAGCATGACTTTTGTCTCTTCATTCCTGTCAATTGTCTCTTTTTAGTTAGGAATTTTCCTCATCCAATTAGTCAATTAGTGCAAAGTATTTTAATATTAAAACTGAGTACTTAAAAATGCGTGATGTTTTTGTAAATATTGTAAGTAAAAGTACTATTTCAATTTTAAATTATTATGTTATTCAAAACAAGTTGTTATATCAGTTGTACTTTCGTTTTATATTTACGAGCTATTAGTGTCATTTTTTGTATATTTCAAAAGAAAAATTTTATTGTACAAATTTTTAATAAAACCCTTCAAAAATATTTTGTTCTCTCTCTTGAATCAACCTGTTTCATTGTTCCTTGATCTAATTGTTAATAGTAAAAAAAAGCCTATTTGTGTCTAGAATATAGCAGTCATGGTTGCTTGACCAAATGAAAGGTTATTTGAATGCAGATGCAAATTTTCAAAGCTGGTTGCTTTTGAAGAGGCTATAACTACAAACAGCAGAGAATTGACAATGACAATGACATTTAAAATTAAGGAAATTAAAAACTTAAGTTGGAAATTGAAGAAGAACACCTCTAATAGCCTCTTTAAGTCTAAAATCACTCGGCAACAACACAATCTTGAATAATTCACAAATGCCATTGCTAAACCAAAACTCTGAGATTGCATGTCTTGGTGAATTTGGGAGGAAATACCACTTGGATTTCATTTGTTTTTCAGATTCATGATTTTCTAACTTGACATTTTTTTAATTTCTTTGAGGTCTTCAACTTGGCAACGACACTACGTTTGGAGGCAAAAAAAATCTCTGAAGCATGAAAATTTACTAGAAGTTGCATCTCATTTTGAGACAGTGTGTCTAGTAGGTACTATATTATTCAAGGGAATGATTGGTGCGTTTGGAAGAAAAATTGAAGGAAACCTCTTAAAAAACATTTGCACCTTAAGGGAAAAAGTAACTACCTATCTCAGGAGTGTATTTAGGTAAATAGTGAGAGTCCATGTTTCTTGAAAAGTGTTGTCACCCTCCGGCCAAAGTATCACAAGCGCCACTTTGCTAACTTTTCAGCAGACACGAAAAACTGATTTGCGATCACATGAGACGTAGTTTTGGCTTGAAAATTGGAATACTGATCTAGCACAACTTCCTGCCTTGAATTTTGATAAAATTTATTCAGAAAACATTTTTTCTTCGAAAATTGGTGCTTATGAGACTGCACTCTCTGGGCATTGTGAGAATCCCTGGCGCTTTTAATACGGAGGCTAATCAAATTTAACGGAGTTTTTTTCATATTTATTTATGTTTAATCTAGAAAAAAGTATTATTTTTGTATGTAAAAGCATTTTATTAATTCAAAACCATCCATAGCTCAATTACGATAAAAATAGCGCTTGTGATACCCCGGCCGGAAAGTGATGAATTGCTCCAGGTCATTTCAAGTGTTATTGATACTAAAATTGTAAAAACCGTCCCAAAGATGAGCGATTACCCAATTTAGCACGTGTGATACTTTGCTCTTATATGGCGCTTATGATACAAAAATTCATCAACTTCAACGGAGTATTTTTCATATTTATTTATTTTTATCCTAAAAAAGTATCATATTCGAGATAATGAGATACATTTACATACGAAAATAATTTAGCTTTAAGTCATTCCGAGGGCTGCTGTAATAAAAATTGTTAATAATCAGAAAGGTGGATGGTTGCTGCACTTGGCACTTGAGATACTTCTCTCCCAAATAATGGCGCCTGTGATACGAAAGAACATCAACTTAAATCGATTTTTATTCAGATTTCTACATTTTTGTTCTAATTAATATTGTTGTATTCTAATCAATATTATTTTCGTATGTAAATGCTTCTCGTTATTTCGAAAATATTCATAGCTCAATTTCGGTAAAAGTGGCGCGGAAGGAGGCGATGTAAAATGAACGTCGCACCTGACAACTTATTAATTTCAAATCGCCTTCATTTTACGTCATAGGCAAAATATCACTCCGTGAGCAAAATATCTATTTGGAAGATTTTGAAGGCGCTTGTTAGATCCGCGGATCGTCAACTAGTTACATAACTTGTTCAAAGAGTTCGCTTGTGACTCAACCTTGTCATTCTTCATCAAAACTGTCAAATATCTCACGACTGATGCCAGATCAGCTGTTTTTTTGACAATTGAAAAAAATGTGTTATTTACTTCACAATTTTCAGGTTAAATCCGCTCACAGCTAGCTCTGTGTTGTGAAGTGGACTGCTAAAACTTATCTTTTGCTGAAATTCTGATAGTTTAAAGTACTTATTTCTCTGTTCATTCCCTTACTTTCCACTAACATTCAAGTGCTCAACTGTTCGACTAATTTTCTTCTCATGACATGTCAACGATGAAACAAGGTATGTTCTACTTTATTGCACTGCCCTCTCCGACTTTGCGAAGACTGCTCAAGAGAAAAAAATATCCTGTTCAGTCTTATGGACTAGTTTTGAAATAGTCCATACCTGGCTCAATATTCACTGAATCCGAAAATTTCTATTGCATGCTCATTACCTTCTTGTGATTACTCGTAAGAACTGCCTCAAAGTGGTATGTAAACCTCCGAGGGTCTCTCTTCTCTGAGTTAGCAACATTCAGGATTCCTGTAACTGTGAATAATTGTGTCGAGATCTTAACTGATCGCATGGTCAAAACAAAAGTTTTTCCATGCTGAAATAAGCATCGTCAAATTTGTGATAAGTCTTTAATAACAAGCGACTTGTCTTGCAACAATCACAACATTTCCTTCACAAACTGTAGCTGGTCGGGAATGCATTGTTTTGAATTTCTGATAGAACCATTATAGAACAGTTAGACGAGCAAACCTTTTCCTTCATTAGATGTTTACATTTTAGTTTTTGAGGTGCTTGTTTGGAGTATGGAACCCTAAAGCATGCTTAATCAAGACGAACAGGGAAAGGGAAACATGAATTACTCAGAAGGAAGGGAGTAAGGATGAATTCCAAATCATTCAACCAATCACATACATTGTTCTTACATGTATCATAACAAACTTGCTGAATCTACCCACTGAATTGCTTGATAACCAACCAATCTTCACACAACTTTTTTGGCGGCCCAGTCCTCAGTATTCTGCCCAGCACTCAGCGTAGGTGCTGAGTTAATAACTTTACAATCACCTTAACTGTCATCAGGTGACCAGCGAGAATGAACCATCCATGACCAGTCCATGGATGCCTCCATTTAGTGAAGAGTATTAGGTATACGGTTACTGTAATTTTTTCCAATTAACTTTACTTAAAGTGATTCTTTTTAAAAAGTTGTTTACATTTGCAGTTCCCTCTCAAGATGAAAATGAATTGAAGTTGTAGTCCACACTTTTGACACGTGTTATGACCAAAATCGGGCATTGAAACAGGAAAATATTTCTAGACACAATGCTGGAGCCACGGAATAGCTCGGACTTCCGCCTGGAGGCGAATGACCCTCTAGAACTTCTGCAACTTGTCTCTTCTCTCAATGATGACTCCTATCGTCGAATTCAAGTCAAAATCAATGACTATGTAAGTACCCTTGCATAGTCTAAGTTTATTGTACGTCACCTTAAATTTTGCATTACCTTGGTAAAGATAGTGTGCACGAAGAAGAGGCTCTCTGTGAAAATCAGCTTTAACTTTGGCTGGACTACATGGCCTCTTATGTACCAGTTGCATTGTTCATCCTTGTTTTTCACACATTTATTTTTCAATTTTTACATAATATCATTCCTCAAAACGTATTGTGAAATTTTTTTTTTTAAAAAAAAAAGGGTGTGCAGTATTTAAAAGCCTTTTCCCCTGCTCCTCCTTCTACCTACTGTGCTCTCTCATGACAGGGCAGCGCAGTGGTGAATCATTTCAATTTGAAATCATCTAGGAAAGGCTTGAAGTGCGTCCAGAATGTGAAATCGATAGGAACAAACCTTTTGATCCTTTATTCCTCATTAAAACCCCCAAAGATACCCCAAAAACATATCATAATTATATCCATTCCCTTTAACAGCTCCTATACAAAGTTGCTGTGCCCTAACAGGGCAAAAAACCTTAAATAATTTTGAGAGAAAAGAATCTATAATAGGGATTTTTTCTCTGGTGGCAAAAAAAAAGTTTCCCCCATCTCCTCAATCAAGAAGCCTTACTTTCATGCTTTCCCTCTCTCCTCTCCAATCTACTGTGCCTCGGTACCCTTCTTTCGTTTCGAAAATCAAACCATACCTGAACCACTGTTGTATTTTCAGCCTGCAATGCACCAGTAATCAGCAAGTACATTTTATCATCTGATGTAGCAAATACATCAAAATATGAGGTCATGGCAACCTCATAAAGCATAAAGACACAAATTTTGAAAAAATTACTTGAAACTTTGTTCAAAAAATTGAAATGATAAAAATGATCTTAAACAACCTTGTTTTTTTTTTTTTTTTGTCTCAGAATTGTTTTGAGTGAAGTATGCGTTTTTTCTCCTTTTGTTTTTAAAGGCGAAGGTGAGGGACAAGTAGGGAAAAAAGTTTTAAGATATACTCCTGAAAACTTTAAGCTCGTTAGAAGAAGCATTCCTGTATTTTTATCAAGTCCTCGCCCGAAGACTTCATCTCAGTTAACATACAATCCCTTTTTTACAATTCCTCATCCTCTATCCCCACAACCAGTTTTTTATTCTAATACCCTTTATTCCAGCAAACCCAGCTTTAAGCACTTTCCTCTGATTGGATAATCCTTCCTTGTGTTTGCAAACAGATGAATGAAAAGTGAGCGTGTGAGTGTTTGCCTGTTGAATATGGAACATCTAGTGGAATTAATTGATATCTTGTTGTAACGTGTTCCATTCCATTTGATGGGTGACATTTAACAGAGAAGACCTGTTTGCCTTGACTGAACATTCTTTCCCACCGTCTCACCTCTGCCCAATTTCTCTTCAAGGTTGTCAAATGAGGAGATATTCCAAATTTGTTGGCTTTTTCTTTCAGACCAAGTTTTGGCAATTAGGAACTTAATCTTTGGTTGATTTTGAAAATCACAATTTTCCAGTGTGATTTTTTTTTTTTTTTTTTTTAAATCACAAATTTTCTGCAATATGCTTTTGTTTAAGAAAAAAGGTATTTTTTTAATTGGGATAATGAAGATATTTTATACAAGTAAGTGCCATCTTAAATATTATGCACAAGCTGTGTTGTTTTTTTTTTTCTTTTGACAAAAGATAACTTTTTCTCCACATCCAAGAGTTCCAGTTGGCATCTCTTCTGAAACCAACAGATTTGTCGTCGACACTTCAATTCCTATTAAAATTGAAATTTATGGTTCAAACTCAGGATATTTCTTGCAGTTGTATGCAACTTAAAAGCAAATATAAGTATAATCAAACTGTAGTTCTTTTGTTCCTTGTTTTTCAAAAAAATAATGCTTGACCGCCAAGGGACGAGTGCATCAGTAGAAAATAGAAAGTTTACCTGTTGTATTTTGAAAAAACTGAAGTTCACTAATTATCTTGGACACAGTTTATTCCAAAATTTTTTTCTAAATCTTATTTCCACCTTAAGTATGCAAGTTTGAGCTTATAATGCGATTACGAATTACAAGTTGAAAAATACTCTTTGAACCATGACCTTAAAAATTCTGGAATTGAATAATTACTACTTGAAGCCTTAGAACTTATATCTCTCCTGCTTCCCTCTTATACTTGGGTTGATGCGAAAGTCTATGCAAAATGAATGATTTTCTTTTTTGTTCACAGATAAAGCAACGTACCGGTGCTAGTTTAGTATTCTGTATCCCGCTAGTCAAGTGTTCTGAAGAGGCTGTTGTCAGTGTAATTGGAGATGAAGTCCTGCCCAAAGAAGTCAGATTTTCGGTACCTAGTTTTACTTATTATCTTTGACCACTCATATTTTTCTCGTGTTCTCCTCATTAAAAAATCAGATTATTCTTGTGTAGCATGTTCGTAGAAAAGGAGAACTCTCAATTGGACGTATTTATGCTAAAAGGAACTATGTGCAAGTGGAAAGATGAGGTGTGCTCGTGCAATCTGCATAAGAAATAATGTAAAATTTATAAAAAAAAAAAAATACAGTTCCTTTTGAGAAAATGGAAAAGCGGGATTTTCAATTAAATCAAAAGGAACTGACCGCTAACTCAGGAGTTGTGGGCATGTGACAAGAGCGTCAGGGCTCATGAGTTAAAGACTGCCTTGCGAATCGTCGTTGCTCTTGTCGTTGCCTCTGACGTCACTAGTGCTTTATATTTCCCATTCATTCTTATTTCCTGAGCACTAACGAGCACACCCTATCTTTCCACTCGCACATTGTTCCATTTAGCATAAATACGTCCAATTGGATCCGCCCAAAATATTACCTTTCTGAAGCTGTGGGCCCGATAAATCATGAACACTTACAAAAAATCAGTTGAAGTGATTTCGTTCAAACTAGGCTAAAATCAAGCTAAGTTCAATTGGAGTAGTCATCAAGTAAAATTTTGAAAAATTTGCTTCTGAGGCCCGAAAAAGAGAAAAGTTGTTTCTCCGTATCCTAATGTATAAGAGATGGGAAGTTCTTCCTCGCTCAGCGCAGCGCTGGTAGTAGATGAGTTATTGCATGATTGTCGTCCAGTATTCATTCAGTTTAGACAATTTATGAGCGACAGTCAACCTTTACTCTGCTTACTTCTGACTTCCAATCAATTGTTTTCCTCGCCTTGCCTCGAGGGATTTAGTATTTAGCATCTACTTATTCATTCAAGAGGACATCATGTGATTTGGCCTTAAATGGCTGTAATTCTTTTTCTTTGCCCGTCATCTTTGTCCATAGTCTAAATTTGTGATAATGGGTTTTGATTCTCTACTTGGACTTTTAACATTGGCTCCAAAGAACAGAGGGAAAGGTTAGAGTAAAGAGTTTATTGGTTACACTTTAAAAAAAAAAAAAGAATAAAATGAGAACAAATGAAACCGAGGAACAGTTGTTGAACCAATCCATCAAAGCCGTCTCATCTGAATATTAAGTAAGTGTTAAATTGACTCTTTTTAGCTGACAATGTAATTCATTTATTATTGGGTGATTTTTATAGGTCTCTGAGAACATGATCCTGCAGACGATCAACAAGCGACTATCCATGACTTTGAAATGTTCACTTTTAAGTGTTGAAATGCGTAAGCTGTTGTTCAGTGCGTTTAAAAAAGGGAAACGGAAACGAGTCAGCGAAACGGAAGATGAAGCCAACGAGGAATTATCGGAGGCTTCCAACATCATCGAAGACACTGTGTTTGAAGCCTCAGGACTTCCAGAGGAGCTGCTTAATGTTCCTGTTGCCAATTTACACGACAACAACATTGCCCTAGTCTGCAGTATTGCTCACAGCAAACATTCCATTGAAGTTACAACTAAAATCGTACAAGAATGTTTCAGGTACTGCTATCATATTTTTTTGCAGCATTTGCATGAAGTCTCACACAATGAAGTATTATATTTGTTTCTTTTATCTATTCATAATTTACTTGTTTTTTCTTTGAATCTAAAAACATATGCCTCAATTGGTGAAAAAGCATTCTCATTTTTTAAATCTATCAGAAAACTGCTCCTTTAAATTGCGAAAATTAAATGTCAGTTCTGCTGTCCTCTGAGATAAAACAAACGAAAACCCCAGTCCTCTGAATCCTGCACAGGTTTAGCAAAAAGCAGGAGCCACGTGTTATTATTGAGATACAAGCTATCCATCATCATGTTGCTGCTATGGTGTCTTTGTCTGGCTGCGCAGGAGCATTCAACGCGAGGGACTGCATCTTGGTGGCAATGAATGGCATGGCACTTGCAGAGCCCTTTTAATGCTGATCCGTGGTCTAGACTGGCGTTGCAGGCAACTTATTAAACTTTGATATTTTAATCAGATAAATCAAAGGTTCTGCAAAAAAATCTAGGATTAGTTAAAATCTCCTGATTACAAGCATTGTCTAATAATTTTTTACTGATTTACCTGTTGACTGTGACAAAGAATCAATTAAGGAAATGTGGCCGTGGACAAATCATTATCATTTTCTTGAAACGTAAGTGAGTAAATTTTTCTTTAAAATTTTTTTCAATGTATTTTCTCTCCACCGTTTAAGTAATATCCAACCCCTTCCAAAACTTTTTAAACCTTTGTTTTATGTAGTTTCTTTTTTTGGTTCATAGGTATTGCCTGAGTTTAGTTTTAAGTACCTTAAATTATGAAGAGGAAAAACGGCTAAGGATCCAGTGTCAGCAGTTGCTTCAGGTTGCTAAAAATCTGTTTAGCAATTTAGGTAATTTATTTTAAACTTTTAGCAACATATTTTTCATCTTCCAATTTCCTAAGTTTTTTGTACCTTTATATCTGAAGTTTCTCTTGAGACAATTTATTTTAGATCTTGCAACTTTTGGGATTGAAGGAATAACTGAACTACCGGGAAATATACTCTTGGTACCCGGTAATCGAATGTAGAATTATAATTTTGCAAATCCTAGCAGATCATTCATAATATCTCCAATGTCAAATTTACTATCGATGGGCATATTAACAATATTAAAATCAGAGTGTAATGGGTCAATTTCAACTTTCTTCACTCTTTTCTTTTTATATGTCAATTTTTTTATACTCCTAACTTTTTTCTTTGCCATCAGGTGATTTAGATGACCTACTGAAAGAAATTATTATAGAGGCACGTCGTTTGACCAACGCTGAACGCTGCTCTCTTTTCCTTTTGAAGGACGATTATTTGATATCCAAAGTCTTTGATGGAGTTGCTTCTCCACAGGTAATGACATCACCACTAAGGTTGAAAAGTACACTGCAAAAAATACGCTGTTGGTGCAGGATTGAATCCTGGACCAGCTAAACACAACACCTGCAAAGGCCCTAGACCATTGCAGCATGCTGTTAATAGGGTTGGTCAAGTAGATAAAGCAGAGGATCGCTTTATGCTGTTCAGCAGCGCTCAGTTATAAAGTTGGAACGCCTGTTGGATCTGTGAAAAGTTGCATTTTTAAAAATCAATATCTCATAAATAGTTAGGAGGTGGAGGCCAAAAATAAATTAACCTTAGATTTGTTTATTCTTGGTGTGTACCGAAAATGAGTCAAATCTTAGGATGTCTACCTCTCCTATGTAAATTAAAGCTGTAAAGATTCCAAAAATGACAATAAAATGCTTCTAAGTGATACGGTACCTTAATGAAGAGAAGTTTCTGTATCCTCTGACTAACTACATTTTCAAATCCAGATACAACTGCTGTAGAATATGGACTAACACCTTCTGTTTAATTTATCATGGAAAGTATTGAGATTTTTTTTTGTCCATTTTGTTGCCAGGGTAACAAAGAAGTGAAAATCAGAAAGAACGTCGGAGTTGCTGGTCATGTTGCCACCAGTGGGAAATTAATCAACATTCGCCGAGCTTACGACCATCCGTTATTTTACAAAGGTGTCGATGAAATAACAGGCTTCACTACTAAGTAATCAATCATCCAGTTTCCCTTTATCTGTATGTAGAAATGTAAAGAAAAAAATTGTATTTTATTTGTAATTTTTGTTAATTTTTCTTGAGTAACAAGAATTCCTACTCAAGCAGTTGGAAATCAATAGACAGCAAGTACAGGACAGGACACAGCGTTTTTTTACTTCATTTTTGAATACTTAAAGAGAATTTTGGGCTACCGCAGCAATTCAATATTTAATATTGAATCGTAAAAAATCACAGCATTTTACTTCATCTGTAGTTTAAAGTTTAAAGTTTTAACTGCAAGACAGAATATTCTTGAAAATGACTGGAAATGAACTCGTGGCAAATTTGGTCGTCTCCAAGAAATAATTTGCCAAACTTAGTATAGGAGAACCTATTTGAGAACTAAGGTATAGCCATTAGTATATCTGACCTCAAGATACATTCCTATAACTGTCATCTATTGAACTATTATAATACGCAAAAAAAAGAAAGTTGCTGAAGTAACATCCCGATGTTAAAAATCTGCATGAAACGCCCCGTGTCTATTTTTAATACTTTGTTCTTTCATTCTCATCCCCGCATCATTTCCTTTTCTTTTCTTTTCTGTGTTCTTTGATAAGTCGTTGGACTGATATAATGCTTTTATTGTGTTTTACTCCTCACTGACTTTCGTTTTAGACATAGGTACAAAGTACGCCTACATCATGATTTATCGTCTCATTGCTATGGTTTTTTTTACTTTTAGCATTTTTCTCCACTAAAAGTGTCTTATTTTTTCTCAGGAATATTCTATGTTTTCCGATCATCCACAATGAAAAAGTGATCGGAGTGGCAGAACTGTGCAATAAAAAAGATGGCTATCATTTTGATCTTTGTGACGAAGAAGTGGCGACAGCATTTAGCATTTACTGTGGTATCACCATTGAACATGCCACAGGCTACAAGAAAACGCAGCTGGCCCAAGATCGGAATCGGCTGTCGAATGAACTCATGATGTACCATATGAAGGTACTTCTTTTTGCATCCCCATCTACTGCAATAGATACAGGGTGTCCCAGACTACCCATATCGGACTTTCTGTCTGGTGAAATATTGTACATATTGATGGTTAATGAATAATACCGCCTATCTGCAATTTGACAATTTTGCAGAACGAAGAGAAAACTTCGTTATTTTTGTAATTTTAAGGTTAGATTTGCAATTTTTTTAGACATTACAGTGTCATTGAAGCGTTGCCCCACAGAATTGGAAGAAAAACTACAATCATCAGATTTTGTATTTTATACTGAATAATGCGGCAAATTCGCTAACTCTTTTTTGCCAAAATTGTCAGGTCCATTAGCCCTGGATATGTGTCTACATATTTCAAGATCTCTGTTTTTGAATCTGAGGACGTCGAAGTATATAAGTGCCTCTTACTCTTCTTTTTCTAATCTTTAAAAAACTTTCGTAGAAACGAATTTTGAATTATTTATTAGAATGTTGTAAGTGCTGAATCAAAATTATGGAGGAGGAAGATTAAAGGAAAATAAATGCTCCAAAAAATTTCAAACCTCAATGAAGGCATTCTTTGCGGTTAAATATTACATACTTTTGCATGAGTTGGCTCGATCATGAATGAAACTTATACATCAATGTTTTCAGTTCTCTTAATTCTTTAAGCAACTATATCATCTGATGTCTTACAGGTTCCCCATGAAGCAGTTGAAAACATTTTGAACAACTCATTGGTTGATATCAGGAAAGACTTCAATGAGTTTTCGTTCAATCCTCGCTCCATAGACTATTCCGAGACACCATTTTACTGTTTGCTCATTTTTGACAATATGGATTTCATTGAGCACTTCAAAATCAACCGTGAAACTTTAGTAAGGTGTGTTACCATGTTTTAAACTCTGGCTCTTAATCTGCACTCACTTTTTTCCGTAGGCGCAAATAATGTTCCCTTTCGAACTAATCTTTCTGGAACTTGCTTCAAATCTAATTTGTAGCCTGCAATACTGGAAAGTAAAAACTTGGAGAATCATGAACCTCGCCTTCCTTTGTAGGTCCAAGCTGTATTTTTTATTTTTAGCATAGTTTAGATCAATCAACACTAGTGTTGGAGCGCCACAAGACGCACTTCTCCTTGAAGTCCACATAAAATTCAGAACATTATTTGAACCTTCATAGTGTTAGACTCATAAAATTAAATACTTTCTCACTATATAATTTGTATTAATAGGAATGTTTAAACGAATTCTTGTCAGAAAGCTATGCTATCTGTTTCTGCCAGATTCAAAATACCGATACACTTCAGTAAGGTTGCCCTTGTCAGAAACAGAAGGCATTATCTATACTCCGCAAGCTCCGAATCGGAGCATTGTTGCCTTGTATGTCTGTCAGTAGATTTTCTGGCCCTCAAAACAAATAAATATGACAACAGCTCATTTTTTTCAGCTCCACAACTTAGATAGCTATGGGTGAAGGGTCTTCTTATTATTACTATTTTTCAATGTATTTTCTCAAGTAGCTTACCGGAAACCAAAAGGGCACTCCTAGGAATTAATACCTGTGGGAGGGCTATAAAACAGTAATTCTCGCAACACTGAAATCACTACCTTCCTGTTGTATTGATAATAATACTTCATAATTTGTTCAATGGCAGTCCTAACTTCATTAATAATACCTAAGAATTTGCCAGAGTTGCAGTGCTGTGGGGTAGAATATTACTGTTGCTATTTCTACTTTTGGGTCTTATGTGCGTCTTAATAGCTGACAACAAATTCTCTCTGTAATTCCTACGCAAACACTAATTTGTCTTCTCTTCCTACAGATTTTTTCTCTATGTAATGAAAGGCTATCGAGATCCACCATACCACAACTGGATGCATGCCTTTAGTTCTGTCCACTTCGCATACTTATGTCTAAAAAAGTTCAACCTCATAAATATCGGACATTTTACCATGCTGGAAGGTCTGGCCTATGTCGTCGCTGCCATGTGCCATGATATAGATCACAGGTAATTCATCAAGCCGCAATTGTTCTGCTCAGAATTCAGTAAATTATTGTGTCCTCTGGAGGTTTTAATTGAATTCTCAGAAGAAAATTACATTGAAGATACTAACTAAACATATGAGGGTTTCCTAATAAGTAAGTTTCGCTAATTTTTTCTCCGCAGCCATGATAAACATGCACTGAGTTTCAGTAAATATTTTGCTTCTTCAATTGCATTGTGTATTTACTATGATCAATCTTAATATATTTTCACCACTGATATACCTACTAAGAATAATTGATTTGTACAATTAAAGTTAGCCTGCAGAAATAAGATGTTGTTGCATTGCCCAAACTGTTTGACTATCAGTCAAATCGTAGCTTCAAAGAAAATAAATTCAGTTCAGTTGTTATGATCTTATTTTGTCTCCATCTGTTTAGGGGAACAACCAACTCGTTTCAGACAAAAACAAACTCTACGCTAGCTCACTTATACAGCTCAGAAGGTAGTGTTATGGAGCGCCACCACTTATCCCAGACCATGTGCATCTTGAACACAGACGGCTGCAACTTTGCAGCTGACCTCAACCACAAGGATTACGAACTCTTTCTCAAGCTGATTTCACAATTCATTCTTGCTACGGACCTCTCGAACCATTTCAATGTGCTTGGAAAGCAAGAAAAAATGTCCAAAGAAGGATTCAACCCTGCAAGTTCTGAGCATCGCGAGCTTCTCCGCTCCCACTTCATGACGCTAGCTGATCTGAGCGACCAAACAAAAGACTGGTTGACTGTTAAAAACGCTTCATTACTTGTATATCAGGAGTTCTTTCTCCAAGGTGATGAAGAGAAGGCGATCGGAAGCAAGCCAGATGTTTCAATGGACCGGGAGAAAGCGCGTATCCCAGAACTGCAGCTGCAGTTCTTACGATCAGTCATCTTGCCACTGGTAAATGTTACTGTCATCTTGTATCCAACGGTAGGTTCAATTTTATTAGACACTGTGAAACTAAATCTAACATGCTGGGAGCGAACAGTGGAAATTTTCTCCCGCAAGCTCTCTGAGGGGTCAACCAACATAGAAATTCTTCGGGATCCTGAGATTGAGGAGTATGTATTATCGAAAGTAGGTCGGTTTACTGTTTATTGTTCTATCAGTAGTTAAAACTTTGTAGTTTGCAAGTGAGCAGCTCTGGAAGGCTCGAGTGGTGAATGTAACTCTAGTTCCCCAAAGTTTCATTGCTTTGTTGACTCCTGTTAGTGAAAATTTTTAGCAGTAATTTCTCTCCTTGACTTTGAGTATGATTGTAATTTTTCACCACTCTTAATATGTTACATAGAAACACGCTTTATTGTAATGAGAAATCAGCTTTTCAGTACATAGAATACAGGTCCTCAAGAATTTCTAGAAGATATTAGTGGAATTCGAGTGCCTCAGAAAAATTTTCCCTGTGCTTGGAGTCAGGCTCTCACCAATTCTTCTGTGATCATGGTAACAATTTCCATTGAAAAACTGATCAAACTGCTTCATGGGAATCCCACCAATATTCATGAGAAATTCTAATCGATCCTTTTTGGTGTCAAAGATCATCACATTCTATGAGTAAACTATGTTTTTCCATGTGTGAATTGTTAAAAACTACTGAATTTTTTTTAATTTTACCGGTGTCTTGTATTCATTTCATAGCAGAGGCTCTTGCGCCTTTATAACTAAACTGGCTTATAGCGATATGTATGTTCTGAATTTTGTTTGAATGGAAAGTCAAACACTCTAAAATGATAAGTACCTATGGAGTAAATACTGGATAACATCAGCTACCCAGTCCAAACTCTCCAGAAATTTTGATGTAGATTTTATCATAATGGACACAGGGTGATCGCACAAGATCAAGAAAACACAGGACATTATTCTTTCATACTTTGTATTTTTAAAAGCAAAAAAGAAATTTTTTTGATAGTTTTATGCATTTCTTTGTAAAATTTAAAGTGAACGTCTCCAACATATTTTCATAGAAAATGTCCCAGCTCAGAACATGCTGTAAGAGGCATATTCTGGAATGCAATTAAAAGTTCTTCCAGTTCAAACTTCGTCAGAAGTGAGAATTTTTGTAATTGTTTTTACTCTTTGTACTTTCCTATTTGCTCATCCCTGTGAATTTTATCTTCCATATCTTTTAGGTAATTTTACATCTTAGTGTGATATTCTTTTTGTCTTGGATGCTAGCTGGTGCAACGTTTATTTGATAATCTGGTGTAGTTGTTTGGTATCTAATAGCCAATTGTTTCTCCTGAAATACTAAATTTAAGTACGCAGTCTTATACCCTTCAGTCTGGCGAAAAGTTTTAAAAACCTTCAGTTTTCTCTTCACTTAAAAAAAGTTGCCTCGTAATCAATTATCTTTGTTAATTTACTCTGGGAACTCTAAATCCTGCTCTCCGACATCTCTAGGTGAAATATTGCAAAGGAGTGAAACGCTTAATACTTAATGTATTGATGATCAAATATTTGGAACTCATTTTAAGATATCAGTGCGTGTCTTCTTTGAGTATGAAATTATTGATAGAGGTGTTCAAATTAATGCTTGTCGACACTGTTTGTTTAGAAATACTAATACACACCAATGAGGCTTCTCCTGTTGGATACAGGCGGCTCTATCAGAACTACGCAAGTTCCAAGTCGAAACACTTGTGTGTCTCTTTCCGTAGGGTTGCTGGGCCTGTAAAACTGATATTCATAACAACGGCTCATTTTCGCCAGATCGGAAAACTGGGGTAGCTATTTTTAACCATCCTCTTATTGTTATTAATCTGTAATAGATATGTTTCTATAGCTTACTGAAAATGGATAAAATACCCCCAGGTTTACATAGAGAAGCCAAAGTTCTTTTTTCATGATTCCAAATTTACTCAAGTTTTTATTCTTTTCTGACTTCAGCTGGAAAAGTTTTCTCTTGAAATCAGAGGTGTCGATGATAATATGAAATAATTTTCTGATTTTTTTTTCAAATTTCTTTTTTATTGGTCACAAATTTATTACAGTTTTGATTTTTTTTCATTTTTAACAATGTAACAGTCGTCCAAAAGCTGTCTAAAATTATTATGAAATGGTAATATTATTTACTCCTCTTTTAAGATGTAACCATCATTTCTTAAAAAAGGAACAGTTTCCGTGTCGTAGTGTCCTTGCCTTATTCTATCAGTATTCTTATATATTCCTGTCTTGGAGGTAATACTTCTAGTGTTTTTTAATGAGCTATCTTCTTTGGCAGGTTTGGCATCTAAGAATCACCTGTCACCAATGTCATTAAGTTTCGATCAATTTCCTCATGTTCATTAATTTACACTCTAACAATGGTAAATCTATCTTCAGCTCTAATCAAAATTTATTTTTTTAAAGGAAAAGTCAATAATTACTTTTAATTTACCTATTTTAATTGATGGATTGGCCAAAGATCTGCTGTAATCATAAACAAATATTAATAAGAAATAATATATTTGTGACCATCTACAGGAAAAGGGATGTCCATCCACGGAGGCCAAATTTATTGCAGGAACATTTTTGTCAGGCTTAACGGAAACACAGAATTTTGAGTTTTAATGGGAAAAGCTCTTTAGCGTCCTGAAGAATAAGTTGCCAGCAGCTTGGTTCATTTTTCACTGAAAGAAAGAGTAAATTCTCATGAAAATATGGCAATTTCGTACTGTGGACATTGTACGAATGTTAGAAAGCCTTTTTTCAAAAGTGTGTTTTTTTAACTACAAACTTCAAATTGCTAAAACTCCAGTTTGGTTTGATATCCGTGGATGTTTATTGTCCCAAAATGTTTGTAGAACACTTCGCTTGACTCGGGTATTAATGACCCAATCTTAAGTTTTTATGCGCTAAGATCCTTTTTTCTGTGGGCGGTCACATATGTTGACGAGCATTTAAACAGAAAATGTTTTTAAAATTTTACCCTACATGAAAAATTATTTTTTCCAAATGTAAGCATCGTTTTATTTTACTTATGACATTTATTTACACCTATCTATGCAGGCCCATTGAAAAACTGAGCCGACGAATTTATGAAATGCAATTTCCAGTTAGGAAAGCTAATTTCTTGTGATTCATCAAGTATCAATTTATGTCCAGAGTTCTTACAATTTTAACCAAGTAAACTTCTTCTTAGAATATACGCATAATTCGATTATCAAAATTATGGAGGGAAACTGAAACCCAATTCATACATTTTACTCTAACCTCCCCCCCCCCTCCTTAGTTCTACATCAATAATGTTTTAATTCTCAAAATCCTGTGGGAATTACTCTTTCATTTGTTGATAATTAACTGGGGAAAAAGATTTTTGGTGTTTTTTAAAAATCAAAACTTAAGCAACTCTGCAACTTTTGACACAGAGTGTTTGTTCAGATTTCTTTTCTTTTTTCCTTTTGTTATAATTTGTCATCTGAAAAATGTATACAGTAATGTTTTAGCTCCAATAATTTCATAGAGGAGCAAAACAAATGACTTTAATGTTTCACTTTGAGTGAAAAGGGAATCAATGGCGAGACTCCTGATTGATGTCGGTACTCTATTGAGTGAAATTTTGCTACAAAAAAAGATAACTTAGTTGTCCAGTTTATACTGTAAAGTGTATCATGCTTGTTGTCTCATAAAATGCCATTTAGACGGTGTTGCATAATAGGCAGGTGGCCCAACCGCATGAAAAAAGGAAACATAAGATCTTACGTTTTTTTAAATCTTTGCTTAGGACTTTTGCAGCTTTTTAAGTATAAAGTGAATGTTAACTTTTTAGTGTTTTAGAAGCTATTATGATTAGCATCATTCCACTTTTGCCAAAGGATTCTACTTTTACATTGCAGCAATCCAAATGGTGTTTCACCTCCATAATTTTGAATCCTTGCTATCTATACTCCTATTGTGCCCCTACTTAATTAATAGTTGTTTTGCAAGCTTTAATTATTCTTATTTGTTTTCTGTACTTTTGTTTTCTATATTCCTCCTTTGACTTTTTTCTTTGATTCACTTTTAAAGCCTTCATGTATATTTAAGGACTTTTGTAGTGTGTAATTGTGATCTTCGGTGCTGTCTATTGAGTAGATTTCACTTGTAGACAAATCTTATTCCAATATTGAAAGTTTATTTTAGTTGATAAAAAGATTAGTTTTCAAAGTATTATTTAATTAATAATTCCTAAAAGTCAACAAACACCAAAACTTAGGCGGTTTCTCCTCAGAAATTGTTAAATCGCCGAAAGGAACCCAAAAATTGATGTCGAGTATTTGGTTAATCTGCATTGATAAACCAGCTTTACGTAATGTATTGAGTGCAAAAATATACCAAACCGTTGAAGATCCGAACAAAAGAATTTCTGAGTTCAACTTAAAAGTTGGCAGGCTCTGAAGTGGGAGAGGAAGAAGAGGAACAGTTGTGGAGGAACTGCCTTTTACAGTGTCACTAGCTTTCAGTGGTAACCTTAGCGGTAACTCTACTATTGAACTGCAGATTACACGAGCAGTTTCATCAGTGTTCATCTTTCAATTCTGTCTGTTCATCTAGCCCATTTTTTTCCATGAGTATCTTTAATGGTGTATAATCCAGGATGATGAACTTATGATACATCAGTGAATCCAGTAATTCGCTCATAAATAGGTCCTGAGATGAACTAAGTTTCGAAAGTTGGCTAAATCACTGTCCCTGAAATCAAGAGAATAACCGTGTGGTTTTTTCCTTCTCATTTTTCTGTCTTAGTTTATTTCTCGTTATTTTCGTTTCTCACACAAAATTTTATAGAGTACTAAAATCCAGTTGTGAGGCATGAATGATCGATTATTGATATTTCTTCATTTGAAGCTGTGGTAACTGAAATGAATCAATCATTAAGGTGTTCGTTGCAAACACCTTGTTTATTGATCTTTCTTCTACGTTTAATTGGCAGATTAATAGATATATCGTAAAGCACGCCACGCCACTGCTAAAGTCATGACCAACTTTTATTACAATGTACGGAAGTATGTAGGTATATCCAAAATAATTGTTTAAAAAGTTAAATGACTTGTTCCTAATAACTCTACGATTTGTCAAGAATATGTAATGAAAATTAGGTCAAATTTTTCTAAAGATAGGTGTGAGGGACCTTTTCGAAGAATTGAAGTCGAATCAAAACGGTTAAGTTTGACTTAATTCTCTGTCTTTCCTCTTCGTAAAAATGGAAAAAACTATGTAAAAAGGTGCTATTCAAGAATTACATCACACATAAAGTAATCAAATTAAAATGTAGTAATTGATTTTTACAAGTTTTTTCAATCAAATTTCAATCATGATGCAAGAAATGCTGTTTTCTCAACTGAGAAGGAAGATGATCAAATGAATTTACCAGTTCTTTTTCTCAAAATGTATCTCTTTATCCTAAGTCATAGTTGTAATTTCCAGTCTTATTACTTTTGTTGCACTTATTTTTAACAATCCATCATTTTCATTTAAGGATCAGTTATTTTGAAAAGAGAATCAGTTCATTTTCAAATGAATCCCAGGTTGCATGTATTTTTATGCATACAAAAATAGACTAGTTCCTTGTACAAAATAACTGATTCCTGCATGTTATATTCGGAAAAGAGGAGATGCAAACAGGCTACTACCATAA